GAGAAAAAGGGGAGGACAGTAAGTCCAATGGTGAGCTGGACTCGGAATCCTCCGGGGAAGACTCTCTATCAGAGAAAGGGGCGGCAGCCCCTAAAAGTCCTTATAAGCTTCAGAAGAGACTAGGCAAGGAGAAGTAAAGGCTGAAGGACTCTGAATTGTGCCTTTAAAAAATGTTGAAGTGAGATGCTTTGGGGTGTTTCTGTATGACAGTTAAATTTAAGATTTGAAAAAGATAATGTTAAACTTGACTCAGTTGATAGTATGATTAATGGGATTAAGACTAAATGTATGGTTAAGCTGGTGGGATGATCTCCTCTCTTGGGTTTTTAGTCAGTAGTGGGTATCTTTCTTTATCTTATAAATGTAGTTTCCCCTCCCATTTTCTGTTGTAGTTTGTAGTGTTATAAAAAATGCAATTAAAAATCCCCTCCGGGGGCTTAAAAAAAAAGAAAAGACAAGCTAATACCCCTGGTCAGGTATCTCTGGAACATTCCTTTCTTCCAATGGAGACCACTGCTTCTGAAGTGTTTTTTAAATATGCCAACTGTAAATCTTCCAGTCATGTAAAAAGGCAGCTTACGTCTCTAATACATACTTAATTCACTTCAACAGAAGCTCTTTAACAGTGGTACACACTCTAAGGATTATGGAGAGCCAAATCTGCACTTCCCATCAACCAAAAGATACTCTGTATGGCTACTGTATGACTTGTACACAACCTCAAAGTAAGTCCAATATAACCATTTTAATTACATTACCTTGGAGTATGTAAGGCAGGGGTGTCAAACATGTGGCCCATGGGCCAGAACCAGCCCCTACAGGGCTCCTATCCGGCCCGCAAGCAACTGGCTCTTCTCTGCTTCCTACTTCCTGTTCCTGCTTCCTTATTCCTGCATCGCAGCTTGCTTTTGCCCAGCTCTCTCCTCTCCTGCTTTTTGTTTCACAGAGGAGAGAAGAAAGCCAAGCGTCCCTTCCCTCAATTTGCTGAGGTCTCCTCCCCCTCCTCCTTTTGGAGGAAAAGGAAGGGGTGGGAAAGAGCCGGAGCGGGTAGACTCCCATGGACCAACAACATTTTATTCCAGGTATAAGCTTTTGTATTTTGTACTTATTTTATTCCAGGTATAAGCACACACTTAGGGAGGGAGGGAGGGAGGGAGGGAGGGAGGAAGGAAGGATAAAAGAGCCAAGAGAACAGGGGAGGGAGAGACCCCCCTTTCCAGTTCTAACAGATGGGGTAGGGAAGAAACCTTGCAATCTTTATTAGTGGAAGGGAGCAAGAGTCCAATAGCATGTTAATAACTAGCAGAATTTGTGGCAGGGCATGAGCTTTAATGAGACACTGCTCACTTCTTCAGATATAGCTAGAATGTGAGTCCATCTGTCCTTGTATCTTAGAGAGTGAAGTGATTTCAGATGCCAAATGACAATTGCAGGCATTGGTAAAGAGAGAAGAAAAACAGGTTGCTTACCTGTAACTGATGAACTTCAAGTGGTCATCTGTGCATCACACCCATGGGATCCAAATCGGTTGTATGCAAAGCTCACAACAGGATTTTCGCACCTCCCTCCAAGGCATGTGTGGGAACCCCACTGCGCATACCCAAAGAGGTGGGGCGCGGACATCCAGCCAGTTCCTTCTGACCGCTGTCATGTCAATAACCAGAGAAATGTACTGAAGCGACAGCAGTGGGGAAGGACGGGGTGGTGGTGTGACTGCACAGATGACCACTCGAAGATCATCAGTTACAGGTAAGCATCCTGTTTATCTTCTTCGTGGTCTCTGTGCATAACACCCATGGGAGACTAAAAAGCAGTGGCTCACCTGGAGATGGGAGCTGTCGCAAATTCAATGCTCTGCCGACGAAAGGACTAGACGACCAAGGTCCACTCTGTGGCATTCACAAACATCAACACCGTAGTGCTTGATGAAGGTGTTCTGAGTAGACCCTGTCGCAGCCCCACAGATCGCCGACAGGGAAGCACCCTTCAAGACGTGGCCATGGATCTTGTGGAATGCACTCGCACAGGCAAGGGCAACGGGTGCTTGGCCAACAGGTAGCACAGTTTAATAGTCTCAACAATCCATTTGGAGAGACGTTCTGCTGAGATCTTTAGCCCTGCGGAGTGACTGGAGTAGGAGACAAATAAGTGATTGTCCCTCCTACTCGAGCGTGTCCTGTGAAGGTAAAAAAGCAGCGCTCTCTTAACATCTAGTGCATGGAGGAGACATTGCTGTTAATCTTTCAGGTTAGGAAAGAAGTTAGGTAAGAAGATCTCAGAGCTGAGGTGGAACTCGGAGACCACTTTCGGAAGGAAAGAGAAGTCCGGTACCAGTCTCACACCATCCAGTAGGAAAACAAGGAAGGGTGGGTCATGACGAAGAACCACGAGTTCGTCCACCCTCCTCGCTGAGGCAATGGTAACGAGAAAGGCGGTTTTCCATGCTGCATGTTTTAGCTCGCAAGTTGCCATAGGCTCAAAGGGCCGTTCCATCAGATCGCACAGCACCAGCGGCAAGTCCCACAAGGGTACCGGTGAACGGATCAGTGGATATAGGTAGAGGAAACCTTTAAGAAATCTCTTTGAGACCGGGTGAGAAAAGATGGAAAAAACTTCAAAGCCCGAATGGTAGGCAGAAATAGCCGACAAATACACCCTGATTGAGGAGTGCGAGAGGCCCTTCTCTGCCAGCAAAAACAGAAATTATAAGATCTGGTCAAGCGTGACAGAAGTCGGGGGTACGTCTGAGGGTTGTAAGGAGGCCAAGAAACAAGACCACTTCCCACTGTAGGAACGTTGCATAGAGTCTTTCCTGGCATTGAGAAGGACAGTGGTGATTCTATCCGAGGATGTTGTGTCCACGAGATAGGCTGTCTGCTTGAGTTTGTGGACCTCGTGGAACAGAAGAGCTCCTCCTTTCGCACGGAGCAAATCCGACACTTGTGGGAGAGGATGGCGAGCCTTGGTCAGCGAGAGGAGGTTGGCGAACCAAGGTTGCCTTGACCACCAGGGGGCGATCAGGATGCATCTCATGTGGACCCTCATGAGTCT